TATGGAAAAAATTAGTAGTGTTTATTTTATGCTCGACAAACAAATGTAGTCACAGAATAAGTAAGGCACCTGAAGGTAACACAGGCCTAAATCCAGGGTTCTACCTCCCCCTGAATCCCAGGAGCATTATGTAAGATGAGAGTTCAGTCCAGCCCAGTTTCTCAGTGGGGGGATGTTTCAGGGCCAAAAGAAGTGGGTCCACATAAGGGGACTGGAGACATTGCAACAGAACAGCCAGATAAAAGGGGCACATCAAGGAACAATTGTTCCAAGGGCAAAGGTGTAAGGGGAGGAAGGGGAAGATGACGAAGCAAGTGTTTCAGAGGAAATGGTAATTGCGGATGATAGAAGAAATGCTAAGAAAAAAGAATGGGCAGGAAAAATTCAGCTGTCATGAAAATTAGAATTCATCAACACATTTTTTTGGCTAACTAGAGCATTGTTTCTGTCATGTATAATGTTAAATAGTTTAACCTTATGTACTTATAAAGTGTTGAGCAAAGGTTTTCACTATTTCAAAAATAATTTTAACCTTAACATTCTTATTTTATGGGGGCACCTGGGTGGCTCAGTCGTTAAGCGTCTGCCTTCGGCTCAGGTCATGGTCCCAGGGTCCTGGGATCGAGTCCCGCATCGGGCTCCCTGCTCGGCGGGAAGCCTGCTTCTCCCTCTCCCCCTCCCTCTGCTTGTGTTCCCTCTCTCGCTGTGTTTCTCTCTGTCAAATAAATAAAATCTTTAAAAAAAAACCAAACATTCTTATTTTATGATTCTTGGTGACATTGGTGTCAACAGTATAAAATATTAATTAATCTAGAATGGAAGAGGCCAATACAGATGCAAATACGTTTCTATAAGTGGACTAGAATAATTCCTTTTTAAACTCATTTCTTATGGGTTATTGGGAAAATCGTCCACAAACATGATTGGAACTATAATCTCTATGCAATTCTAGATTTCTTCTGCAATTTGATAGCTATCTTACTTATCTTCTGAGAGCCTTAGAGTGTGTCTCCTTTGAGCCATTCTCTGATGAGCCATCCTCAGAAAGGGAGAAAAGATTTTTTTTTTTTTAGAAGTTAAACAGAATGAGGATCTAACAATGAGAATGGGGTTCTAGAAGGAGAATCTTTTACAAGATGTTATCTCAAAAGAAGCTCTAGTTTGATATTAAATTGTGTCTGTCTTTTAATTGTCCTGGAAAAAGCAGGAAAAGATCTGCTACAGAGGATCCCGTGTCAGACAGGGGTGATAACTTCTTCTAACACATGACCATTGACTTGCCAATTGGCCCAGGGTAAATGGCTAAATTCCTTAATCTACATTCTTGCGTATAAGAAGAGGCTAAGATTTCATTTATATTTTAAAGTGATGTGCAATGATTTCTTTGTTAAAAAATAGAGCACCTGGGCGCCTGGGTGGCTCAGTTGGTTAAGCGACTGCCTTCGGCTCAGGTCATGATCCTGGAGTCCCGGGATCGAGTCCCGCATCGGGCTCCCTGCTTGGCAGGGAGCCTGCTTCTCCCTCTGACCCTCCCCCCTCTCATGTGCTCTCTCTCTCTCATTCTCTCTGTCTCAAATAAATAAATAAAATCTTTAAAAAAAAATAGAGCATCATCCTATACATTTTAATTTCAATTGAACATTGCATTGTAATCGTTACATATTATCTTATCATTATTATAAACCCAGTAGTTTATAATGAGTTACAATTCATCAGTCTTCATTATTCCACAAAATATGTTGGATATTTCTTGGTGCCTGGGACATAGGACATACTCAAAAAGCCTTAGTGTCCTTTCCCTTTCCTCTGACAACCAGAACAGGGGGTATGTGTTCTTACAGACCGAGTACATAAGGATAATCCCTCTACTTTTATTCTTATTTCGTCAGAAATCCATGAGCAGTGTTAAGTCATACCCATGTGTTTATTCTACTCTCTGTATTACCCTAAACTGACAAAATCATTTTTGAGAGCCCATCATTGCATACTCATAGATGTGGAAGTGAAAATAATAACCAAATGAATTAAATTGGAAAATAATTTCTGTGTGGCAGTCGAATTGGGAAAAGTATCTAATTAACAGACGTCTGCTTTTCTTCTAAGGATTGAATCAGTTTTACTACTAGTAATTCTAGTATTTACATTACACTCTCACTAGGAAATATGTTGATATGTTAATTCACATCACATCAGGGAAAAGATTTACTCTTTATTTCTAAATAATGTAGAAATTGAGGGGAAAAAAATAAGTTACTTGGAGGAGGATGCCAAGTGTTCATGCCAGAATCAGGATTAGAAATCAGGGTGTTGGGGCGCCTGCGTGGCTCAGTTGGTTAAGCGACTGCCTTCGGCTCAGGTCATGATCCCAGGGTCCTGGGATCGAGTCCCGCATAGGGCTCCCTGCTCTGCGGGGAGCCTGCTTCTCCCTCTCCCACTCCCCCTGCTTGTGTTCCCTCTCTCACTGTGTCTCTCTCTGTCAAATAAATAAATAAAATCTTAAAAAAAAAAAAAAAAGAAATCAGGGTGTTTTTGTTGTTGATAGTAACAGAACTGACAATAATTCATGGGATGCCAAGAGAGTGCTGGTTTCTGGGCAGAATCGCTTGCCAGGGCTGCTGCATTTTGTTTGCAAACTAAGATTTTACATTTCAATTCATTTCAAGAGATTTATCCATGTAGCTTTTAAAAATTCCTATCGCAGGACCCCAAAACTTTGCAAACTGATTTTCCAATTTTAAAACCACACATACCCAGTTCTTTTCTATTCCAAGAGACAGTTTCCTTTTTGATAAAACAGCTCTGGGAAAAAATACCCCCAATCTTCATGTAAAAACTCTTACAAGACAACTGCCTGATTTTGCATGTCCTTTGTCCAACAGGCATTTTCAACCTGACATTTTAAAATATGGCCCATGTTTTATTTAACAAAGGTCGTGTTCATTTTGAGTTTCTAAAGTGACAGCCTACACTCTGTGCCCTTCTTTACTGGAAATGAAAGCTACACCAACCAGGCCCTTCACCAATGCTTCAACAAAAGAGCCTAACAAAACCAAAGTACAGGGAAGGTTGACAAAGGCATTCGGATAGCTGAACAGCTTCTGAGAGTATTTAATCACCATTAATTCTTTCCTCACCCTCTATTTCCTTCCTATAATTCCAAATAGCAAAGCAAATACTGTGAATTTTCTGGTTGTAGCCTCCTCAAAACGTCTGTGGAAGGAATAATGTCTTGTCTTTTGGCATTATGTTTAAGTAGCAAGCCTGGGGATGCGTGTAGAATGTAAGGATCAAATAAAAAAAAAAAATCAGGAAGTAGAGTCAGAATATTGCTGCTACTACTCCTCAGAACTTACATTCTGCCACTTTCTGAAAACCGGTGAAATGTCAACTCCTGCAATGTGATTACCTTCACCTCTTCTCTTTTCCTACTCTCAGGCACCAAATGGTCTACCCGCTGTCAGCAGTTTTGTGTCTGCGTCCAGCATGGCTCCATACCCCAGCCCGGCCCAGGTGTCGCCTTACATGACCTACAGCGCCGCTCCTTCCGGTTATGTGGCTGGACACGGGTGGCAACATGCCAGTGGCACCCCACTCTCCCCCCACAACTGTGACATTCCCGCATCGCTGGCGTTCAAGGGAATGCAGGCAGCCAGAGAAGGTAGTCACTCTGTCACGGCTTCTGCACTCTGATGGGAAATTCTGTCCGCGCGGCAGCTTCACCCCGTCTCCCCTCAGCACACCCTCCCCCTCTTCCCTGGTCTCGGATCCCACCCCTCCCGCCCTCTCGCCCCCAGAGCTGGCTTTACGGACTCACATCCTTTGTGCTGATGACACTTAAATATTTCTTGCCATAACTTCTCTCTTACAGAAAACCTGACATGACTTTAGGATTTGAAAACAAAAGCAATCTTAAGGATTTAATGAGACATTCGTGTTGCCCACACACTGTTTTAACGTAGCAAAGAAACCTGCACCCCTCAAAGGGCTTAAGGAACTTTTAACACTAGTCTTTGGTAAAACCACATGTGTATATTTATTCTAAATCAACCTGAACTTTTGAAACGTGCAATTGTTGAGATTTTGCAAAATCAATAAAGGAAAATACATATAGAAAAAAAGTTATGCTACACCCTCTAATCAAATAAGGTGACCAAATAAGCTTTAATTCATCATTAGGAAACTAATCAATAATTGACTTGTTTGAGTGATGCTTTGTTTATTCTTAAGAGATGACCTATTTTGTTGGAAAATATAATGTGTGACACAAGCAATATCTGAGTTTAGCTCCTCCTGGTGTTTTGACTTGGTTCCAAATACAATAATGTTTATATTTTCTATTAGTTTGTAAATACGGACTCTGGATGGTGCATTTGTGTTTTCATTCCATGGGACATGCCCCCTCCCTCCCACCCCCATCTATTTTTTTCTTTCTTTTTGCAAAGGTGACTTTCTGGCAACGTCTTTGTCTCTGTTTGGTGGTGGGCTGCTCGGGCTCCTGGACCTGGACTTGCCCCAAATTTTGTGTGTGCAGTGAAGGCTTCAACACCTTATGAAGGACCTTTTCTTTCTACAGCAGAGGACTCAAAAACAGATTAAACAAGCCAGTCTCCCATTTTGTATCCTAATCAAACAACACACATGCCAAGCATATAAAGACATGAGGGTGGAAAATATCTGAACAAGGCGGCTTTAAAGGAAGTCACTTAGAAACTTAAGTTTAATGTGAAATGCTTTGCAAAGACACTTAAAATGAACTTTATATTAAGAAAACCACTGTGAAACTAAATTGTACTGTTATTGTTGGCTTACCTGTGTCTTCAGCAATCTCAGCCCCAAATTATGTTGTAATTTAAAGAAAATGGAAAATTCTGCTCTAATGAATGTAAAAACGGCTTGCTGTGAAGTTTACATTGTTGTACAGAAGCATGTTTCACATGTAGGTAAACTGGTGGTGGTATTAGAAATACAAATGCTATTTAATTTTTTTTTAATTCCCTTTATTCATTTCTGGAGTTACAGGACATAGTTTAGCTGATGAGTCTTTCTAGACCAATGGGGTTTTCACTTTAATGTTAATAGCAGCGCTGTGGGGTATACGTGTGTGTGTGTGAGCATGTGCTATGTGTTGTATTTTAAAACAACTGCTTTTCTTGGGCAAAATTCTACAGTTTTTCTCTTCTATTTAGAAAGTTCTTCCTGCTTGGCAATATGTAGGCTTGAAACTACATTTTAAAAACATTGGTACAATTCATCTATTGGAAAATTAATATATTGTGGGTTTTTTTTTTTGGTATTAATTCTGTGCAATAACTAAAAGGGCACATCACTAGATGTGGATGTTAAAGATGCATTCGTGAGGTGATCCTGCTTTCTTCCTATCTGTGCTGTGCACAGTCTACACAGCAATCCAGTTCCGTCACATCGGTTTCATGGCTTCACTTAAAACTCAGATGGCTAGACGAGCAAGGCTTTCAGATCACTAGCGTATAAACAGTAAGCAGATTTCTGACACGTAAGTTATATTCGAGGAATTGCTTGTTTCAAGCAACAGATATCTTATAGAGAGAGCTTTGAACTGCATTTATTTCTAAAGCAACCAAAATTCAGTGCTACAAACAGAGGATTATAACTTCAGGAGAAGAATAAGCAGAAGGAGCAGATGAACTCTCAGGGCCATAGTCTTCCTTTGATCTTATAAAACTCCTATTGACATCTGGAGTTCCCAGTCTGGTGAGAAAATAGACTATAAACTGAATGGAACAAAGATACCAGTCCAATATTTTGGTGGAGACTTTAAAACCATAACCATACAGGGACTCTCCTGCCGTCCAGAAAAGCTGACATAAGGTATAGAATTATCCCTTATCAGATAGTTTTTAGATGGCTACTAAGAGTCTTTAAAAAAAAATACCAATCATTTGTACGGAAACACAATGAAATATTATCTTTATCTAAATTAAGAAATCTCTTGTTAATGCTATTTATAATTTTTTTCTGGTTCTTGTATTTTTAAAAATCTGATGTTAATGATATCAAGATTTTTTTTTCTTCTCTTTTTCCCCCAGGTCTTGTCTTAGCAACAGTGAATTCACATGGCGTAACTTAAGAAAGACAACAGAAAGCTAAAATACAGTTTGCTATTCAAAGCAAAATATGATTTAAAGCTACTTTTAAAAATTAGAGAAGGAAAATGGGATGGGGTACGGGATTGGGATTGTTTGATTTTTAAACGTTATTATTATTGGCTAATGTTGACATATTTCCTTTGTTTCTTAGGGGGTAAAAGTGTTGTTTTTAAACTGGCAAATGCACTCTTCAGAGATCCTTTTCCATCCCATTCACAGGGAGAGGTTAAAGGTTCAATTTCATGGCCTCTATGTGGGCATTTCTCTCCCTCACAGGATGCAAGAGCATTACCTGCAAGGATAGAATGCAGTTGTACAACAGACACATTCTTCTTTCTCTTGGGTTTTTTTTTCTTCTACTTTTAATGACCTTCTTATGAAATATTGGGCTGAAATATAAATTAAAAAACACGTTGGAAAGGATGTACAACCGAAGGCTGTGTATGTATATACAGTATGTTAAAAAGCCTTTATTTTTATACTTCAAATGCTCTAAATTAATAAAAAGTAATAATTATCATGTTATCTTTTATTTTTTCTTTTCAAAATGCTTTAGTGACCTAGTCTCTTGGTGCAAATAGCCCTCAGTAGTAGTTAAGAACAGGTGTCATCTAGAACGGGCAGATATTTTTGTTGACTTTAGCTACTGAAGTAGCATCATTTCAGGATGCAAATACAAAATCAAGTTTGGTGATATCAGTGCCAAGGAGATATTTCTTAGAGTGCATGTTAGTACAGGAATTCTTGGAAATGCTAAGAATGTACTTCTATTTTGAAACATTTTCCCCTTCATAGTACATATTTTAACACTACGGATAGTTGACTTCACACCTGAAGCTGTCACTTAAAACTAATAACCTGGAAATGTAGTTTTACTCTAAACATTCTTTTTTAAGAATGGCAGAGGTAAGAGTTCTGAACAAAGCTGGATGTGGGCGCCTGGGTGGCTCAGTTGGTTAAGCGACTGCCTTCGGCTCAGGTCATGATCCTGGGGTCCCGGGATCGAGTCCCGCATCGGGCTCCCTGCTCAGCAGGGAGTCTGCTTCTCCCTCTGACCCTCCTCCCTCTCATGCTAATGAGAGACCAATGAGAGACTGGTTGTCTCTCATTCTCTCGCAAATAAATAAAAAATCTTATTAAAAAAAAAAAAGATATCTGGATGCAAATACAGACAGCACAAATGGGCCCAAGGAGTGGTTCCAATTTGTGTTTTAATATGAAAATATTTCAGCAACAAAAATTGTTTTCAAAGGGAATTATGTGAAGGAAATTTCATGTGTTCTATTTGCCATAAAAAACTTCACGTATCAGGATTTAAAAATATGACCTGCTTTAAACAACAGTGCAAAATATAAAGTAGCTTTGGGAAAATATAGCTGTGATAATGTATTATTACTCAAAGAACACCACCAGATTTAAATTTTAACATAAAATTCATCATTTTAAAAATGCCATTTTAGTGTACTTTTCCTTGTGCCTTTTAAGTATTATTTATGGGAGAATTTAATTCCTTATAAAAACTGTTCAAATTTTGGCTTAATTTATTACTCTAAGCATTTCTTGACCTCGTGGGAAAAATAATTATCGATACAATGAATTTTCTTCATGAAGCAGTGTAAGAGGAATACAGATCACAAAATTTATATAGCTTTTATGAAATATATCTGATTTCTATGCTATTTTCTGTGTTCGATTTATATACCTCATTACTTCAAACTATTTTTCTTTGCACAGATTTATGGATATAGACAAAACTACAGTCTCAAATTGTGTAGAGATAATTTTTGAAGTATCAAAATAGGTTTTGTTCTTGAATAAACTGTTTCCCCTTAATAATTGTACATAATTGTATAATTATAATTTTTTTTAACTCATCCTCCCACCCCCCTCCCCTCTAGAATGTGTATAATTATAATTTATAATCATATCAGCTGAGCTGCTAGTCTCTCCTCATGGTGTTGTAGAGCAAACATCCATGATCTCATTATCTCCTAGGCAATCACCAGTTCTCCTGAAGCCAGGAATAGGTGTATTCATAAACCAGCAGCATCACTGCACCACCTAGAAAAGAAAAGAGCTGGTTTTTATCTCAAATCCTGCAAAATAGTTTCATTTTCCCCCACTGGGTTTCTGAATCTGCGAAGTCCCATGCAGCCTATCAATCAGGCAGGGGCTGTGTAGACTCATCAGTCCCTGGGCTCTAATACATCGATATAAAGCTATTGTGGAAAATTCTCAGAGCAAAATCAAGACCATCTTGAGTCTCCAAATACATTTTTTCCCCATGAGTTTCTGTAACTTTCATCATTTCTCATCAGATTCTTTTTCAGGCACTTTTAATTTTTAAAAGTAAATAAATATAGACACATTTAGTCATGTAAGGGCATGTGGCGTTCCTGCAAACAGAAACCATTCATATTTTTCATATGTAGGCAAAGGATTTATCTTTTTCAGTCCATAATTAGCACTGTCCTAGTTGCATTCAAGAAAGAAAGCTTATCTAAGAGGGTGCTTGATAGATGAATCTGATTTTCTCTAATAGCCTTCAAACTGGATTGCAATGTGAAAAATAGCTTCAGAATATTTAAAATATGTGTATTACAAAATATAGCTAGCTTTCAACCTCCTTTTGCTTTTATTCCTTTTATTTGCCTCAGATATGAGTGGATTGCACTTGAAAATTTGGTGGTGGGGTTTGGGTATCACAGACCAGTATTTGTCTTGAAAGGTCAACATGACTATGATACAGAAAAACAAACACCAAGGTTGCAGAATACCTAGAAATCTGGAAAGGCCTCTGCATGTGTGTTCTACCTGATGCAATAAAATGGCACATATCCCATGCTCTTTAATGTAATCTATCTATCCTCTCATGTCTGTGTGAAAAATATTACAAAATCAAAATGTGGACAAATATCCTGAGCACAACCTCAAGAAAACTTGGCTGCATGAACAGAAGATTGACTTCTGACGAAAAGAAATATAACTTGATTTTGATCTTAGTTATTTTGTACACACTGCCATGTGTGTGTTTGTGTGTTTTAATCTACAGACCACACATGTTTGTGTAACCTTCTACCAAAGATAATTATCTGCCTGTAATTTTCATTTTTAACCCATGAAGATACTCTATTAGACCCCTCTGCTGCCATAACCCTCTTGGCACTCTGGCAAACGAAAAAAGACCCACTGACAGAGGGTTATTAATACCTATGTAATTGCAGTGTTTACTTTTATTAACTATTCTCAGCGTAAGACAAGAACATGCAGAATTGGTTTAGTTTTCAGCCTGGTGATATTTGGAGTTTAAACCACAGACTTCAAGAGCCTCCTTACACGGCAGGTGACTGGTTGTGAGCAAGAGAGAGCTGCCGAGGCTGTTATAAAAAGAAGATGGGATGGATGCTTCCTACAATGAAGGATGAAAATCCCAGATTTACCCTTTCTTTTTTTTTAATTTTTATTATTTTTTTAAAGATTTTATTTATTTATTTGAGAGAGAGAGCATGAGAGGGGGGAGGGTCAGAGGGAGAAGCAGACTCCCCGCCGAGCAGGGAGCCCGATGCGGGACTCGATCCCGGGACTCCAGGATCATGACCTGAGCCGAAGGCAGTCGCTTAACCAACTGAGCCACCCAGGCGCCCCAGATTTACCCTTTCTTTTACTTTTTTACTCTCTCTTTAAAAAAAAAAAAAAAATCTTATCCTTAAGTCAAATGTCGTGCTTTTCTGTCCACCTTTCTTTCCTTTAAAGCTGCTGGGACTTGCATGTTTGCAGGACTTACATGCGAGTGGAGGCCAGGTCCCTGAAGCAGATTTCCAGTCATTCACAGTTTTGTTTAGCCTGGACAGTCCACTCGCAACGCTTTTCATTGTATTTACCACCACAGCAACTCAGGACGCCTCATGCAAAAACATTTAAAAAGCCAACCAAACATTTGCAAGCCTCTAACAAAACTTGGGGTCAGATTATTTAAGAGTTTTGGATTAAGGTTCCAGTCAATTACTGTTTTAGGTAAACTCTCCCTGATCACCACTCTTTTCAGGCCCATCCCCTCCTGAGAAAGCTGGGTTAGGGTCATTCCTATGATTTTCTCTAATACTAGGTCTACCATCGGGGTTTTACTGTGTGGGGAAGGGAAAACACCACAAAGTCGCAGAGAGAGTTGCACAAAAGCACCAATATTCTTTGTCATTGCCTTTGTTTTTACACACGGGCCAATGACTAGCAGGAGGCAAGTCTCCATCTCCAATGTGAAGCAAATCCATGCTTAAATGCCTGGGAAGGTTGGGATAGATGGACCAAGAATTGCGGACGTGTTTTCTAAATACATGAGAGGGTGAGCTGTCCTCTACCTCAGGATGGTAGAAGTGCTGGCGCACTGAGCCTGAGGTTCGAGGACGGTGACTGTGCCCGTGTGTGAGTGTGGCAGGGCAGGAGGACCGTGGTGGTAAAAGGGAGGAAGGGAAGGGGAGAGGGGCGAGGGGCAGGGGAAGCTTCGGGAGAGGACACCGGGACACCAAAGTAGGTGAGCCTGGCTGTACTGAGACGCAGGGTTGCTTCTAATCCAAGACTGTTTGCCAAGGCGGTTGGGTCTGCAGCAGTTATGCTCTTATCTATTTACACAGAGGCAGCTGACTCTCCCTGTGGGAAGAGCAGCCGGTTTTCTGTGGGCTGGCGTCTGCAGGTAAGGCCCTGAGCCAGGAGCCTCCACCATCATGCTGACAGACGCCAGGAAGGTGAGCGCCAGACTGCCCCGCCGCCACTCCCTGGGCGCGACACTCACCACAGCCCCCCCGGGGACCGTGAGGACAAGAGGTTCTTGCGCTTCGTGGAGGCAAGTTACCCTTCCTTTTTGTTTTTGAAACGAAGTTGGGGCAGGAACAAGAATGAACTGGGGGGGCACCAGGAGAGTTTTATGCGCTCAGTGAAAATCCTCCCCCACAGCCTCCTTGCTCACTCAAACTCCCAACGGGCTGGGGAGCCTTTCCTATTGACTTAAGCTGGGCTTTGGCTTCAACCAGCCTCCAGCAAAGTCTCAAACAGTACCTTATAAACAAAGGTGGAAAACATTTCTAACAGATGTCTTCAGTGTCTTGCATACTCATAGACAACTTTATATCCTCACGGTTTCCATCTTTGACAGTGTGATCAACATATCATGTTGCTGATCGACACAGATATGAAAAAAAGAGACAGCAGAACAACAAAGAAGGAAGGATAGAAGTAATAAAGACATCATTACCTGGTCCAAGCCTCATAACCTTGGGAAGCAGGCCTTTGTACAAAGCTAAAATCCTATAATAGGAAGGGAAAGAGCAACATTTTAAATTCTGAATTCTGAAACTAATTCTGAATTTGAAAATAGAATGGACCAGCTTTATTGAGATGTTGACCCAGCATCTACAAGAAAATGTATTTGAAATCACACATATCCCAAACCAGGCAATATCTGGCTATATATTTTCTGCCGCAAACTGGACAAAGGGAAAGAGTTAATGAATTCTTTATTGCCCAAGCTATGCTGATCATGTCCAACCAGAAATATGACTTTCCTCAGCGAGATGGTTTTTGCTATGAACACAGGTCTTACTTTCAAGACAGCTATGTATATGGACAAAATGACTTTGTAATTGAATTTAAAAGACCACAAACTCGGTCTTCACAAAAGGAAAGATGACATAGTGTAGGTCGAAATAATAAAATATTACTTGTTTACTTGAGAATAAGATCTGAGTGAGGCGGGATGAAGAGACAGATGTAACACTTAAAAAAAAAGACTAGCAGAAAAAAACATGTGCTTCAGATATTTGAAAGAAAGCTACTTTCACAGAACTCTCATGTTTAATTCTCCCAGGGGGCTAAAATGAGGTGACATTTTGATTAGATTTACAGTTAGAAGACAATCATTCTCCTGCCCACATGTTAACAGGGTGTATTATAGCATATTATGCAAACTGACAAGAAAAAGGTTCATCTGAGGATTCTAAGATAAACATGCAGCAGGTTGTATGATGGTGGCCCAAGGTTCTGGATGGTGTAAGAACACATTGCCAACATTTCATCATTGTGTTATCTCACAAAGTTTGTCATTATTCTCTAGAGCTTTTCACACACACACACACACACACACACACACCCAATTTAGGAGGGCTTAATGGCTCTCAGCAAAATGGAAGTACTACGATATACTTTTAACAGTACTTGAGTCCTGCACATTTATTAAAATAAGAATGTTACCCTTCTTCCTGGTAGACTGTTGCCATTGTTTTAAAACAGGTTCTGTACTTGATCTCTCCAGGAACTGGTTGAGGCCCTTGAATCCTACTTTTGGCAACATCAAAAGGGATGTTAATGACTGAGGCTATTGTGCCCGAGAGAAGACCAATCCCAAATTTTCTCAAAAACTCCAAGGTTGGATCCTAAAAGAAAAGAAGAATAAAATAACAGAAAGGGAAGCGGAAGCCCCTAAATTGGCTAAACACTATAAAGCAATATGTATTTAAGCAGAGCATTGCACTCCCCGGCACCCTCCTGTTATTCCAGCGGAACACATTAGGATTTCCTAGGCTGGAACTTGTTTTCTTGACAATCCCATTGGCTATGTTTTTACACATGGTCTAAATTGCTGAAGTACACATTTCCTCACACAGGATTTATAAACACAGTTCATAAAGAAAGACTGGTATGGCATATGGGGATGATTTGTATAATTGGGCTTCACAATGTACTTAGTATTACTGTATCAAAACAGGAGAAATCCAAGCACACTATTAGCTAATTGGCCAGAATATTTTACAAATGACAGCAACTTCCACCATGAAGCCTACTAAAATGCTCATTTGTGTGTGGACCCCCAAATGTTAAATTAAATCAAGGCTACTCTTGGTCTGCTGCTATTCCCCTCCAGGTTTTTTGCATTTATTTTCCCGTGTAGCTGATCCACTGTACTGAGAAGTGCTAGCTTCCTGTTATTAACAAACCAACTTGGGGAGTTTGCAAACCAGCCTGTGACATTCTGTGCATTATAAACAGTAGTAAGTTACTGGACTAATTGGCTGAAGAATTTACAACCTATTGTTCCTGAATCTTATTCTTCCTACATGGCAAAGGAAGAAAAGGAGAGAGAGAGACAGAGGCACAGAGAAAGAGGCAGTGGGGGGGGGGGTGCGTATAGGGGAGGTGGAGGGGGAAGAGAGAGAGAGAAATATTTCTTTTTTCCATTTGAATTTAGGTCCTTCACTTTGGTCTGATTTGATTTTCCACCCCTCCCTGCTCTGCTTTCTGACATCAAAGTATTTAATTAGGTCTGATGTGGGAGTCACTTTCCTTCAGCCTATTTTTGTGCCCAGTGAGCTCACATTATGCTGTGTTATAATGAATTTGCTGGGAAGTTCTCATTATGTTTTCAGCCTCAGTTCTTGCCCTGAAGAGAGGTCATCCCACAAACCATAAGTTGCTGATGGAGACCACCCACCCCTCCCCCATCCCTCCCCTGCCCTTTCTTTTGGTCAATATTTCAGGAGGATCTTCACACGGGAACAATACAGGGTGGTGCCATGATACCATTTTACCCAGCAGGAGAACCTAAGTGGGGAGACATACTTGATTACAATAAAAATAAAAAATTTAAGAAATCATGTCTGAGCATTGCATGCTTCTAGCTTCTATGGAAGAAGAAAACTTCTGGAAGCTCTGAAATTTTCAACTGAACCAAGAGCCAGATACCATCACAGAAACCCCTATGTGGCTAAATATAAAAAGTGAAGGGTTCGGTAATAATTCTTGGATCTGGGCCATACAGGTGCCGGGTAGGTTTAAAGGGATTTAAAAACCAACAGGGTGTTTCAACAGGAAAAACAATGCAGTGATTGCAGTATGAGTGAGGTGTGTTTAAATAATTCCCCCGTCCCCCCATTTTTTCCCTCTTTTACAAGGAGAGAAAAATGCCTTTATGTTACCCTTCTCCATTATGGCCCAGAAGCAGAACCGGAGCTCAGGAGGATGGCGGGTTCAGAACTGGCTCTGGTTTGTCTGACCTTGCATGAGTCACCAAATCACACAGAGCCCAGTGTCCAGAAGGGATCCGTTTAACCAGCCTTACCTTTGTACTGCATTATTTTTCTGAGAAATAAAAACAAAAATAGCAGTGAAAGTACTATGTATGTTGTATAAGCCTGGCAGAAAATGGCTAGTATTATTATGTAGCCTGTCTTCTAAAGTCTCAAAGCATCCTGTAATAAGATTCTCTTATGGGATCCCTGTGACACAGCCAAGCCCTCCTTTTTGAATTGAGGACAAGGGTGAAAATGATGACTTGTATGTACATTGTCCTCTTGGGTTGTTCAGGGGAACCCATCAAGCATGCAGCCTCTCCCATCTCCTGGTGTGGTCACTGAGGCCTAGAGTTGGAGGAGGGGTTCCCTCCTGAGACATTCGATGAAGGTCACTGTGCTTGAGACACTGCTGGATACTAAAGCTCAAGGTCTTCAGCTCATCACAGTCTTCATCAGCACAAGTATGTACTGAGCCAGGGTCTCTATACACCTCCCAGACTAATAGTAAGGTCCCATAGCGGTTCCCCAAACCAGATGTGCATCACATTCACCTGAGAGCTTTACAAAGAATGGATGCCTGGGCCCCACCTCAGGTTTCCAGATCAAAATCCCATGGGAAAGGGCCTGAAAGTTATTTGAAAAGATCTGCAGGACTTCTGAAGCTGCCGGGTTGAGGACCCATGTCCAGGCATCAGTGATTCAGATGGTCAGTTGCTACCCTTCTGGGAATTCTAGGAAGGACAAAAGTCTTCTTGGGACAGCCAAGAGGTATTCCTCACTCTCTAGTCCCTGGGCCCCCAGCCAGTTTCTTCCTTGGAGCCCATGGTCTGCTCTATGCAGCAACCCCACCTGGGGTTGGGTGTGCCCTCTCAGCTTGCCTCTGTTTTTTTTTTTTTGCTACGTGTCATCAACCATTCTCAAAATGCAGCGTCTCACACACGTCTGCCCCACGTGCCCTCCTGGCTACTCCCACTGCTCTGGCTTTAGTTCAGGTTCCCAACACCTTACCAGGTCATGTTTGCTTTTTGCTCTCCATTGTCTTTTCACAGTGACACCAGCTCTCTTTTTGGAAAAACAGACCTGCCTGAGGTATCAAAGACCCTCAATCCTTCCCGGCTGCATGATGAGTAAAGCCAAAGCTCCTCACTTGGCCTTTGGTTTCCTTCCCACACATGTTTCCAACTTCTCTCTCTGGCCTCAAGTTCGATACCTCCACCCCACCCCTATATTATAGTCACACTTGTTAAAACATAATTATGCAAATTTAAACCAAGCACTTTTCTAAGTCTTTTCTTCAAACTACTTCCACAGCCTATAAAGTCCTTCTCCATTATAGTCACCTAACACGGTCCCACTCCTCCCTTAGGGGCCAGCTAAAAATCCCCCCTTGCCCAGGAGACTTCAATGGATCCCTGTTAAAATTAATTTCTCCCTCCTGTACTTTTGAACCTCTGTATGAACCACAATCATTGCCCTTGCCAAGGCTCACTTTGTGTTTGGTATATTTTCACATACATCTATTTTCCCTGCTGGATTGTGAGTTGGCATAGCATAGGAACATGTGTTACTCCTCTTTGTGTCATCTATTACACGGTGTACACAGTAGGTGCTAAATAAATGCCTGCTGATTGGTCTATCAATGTATTGATTTACTTTTGTAGAAACAGTGAGAATCAGGCTTTACCCTTAATCACTATTTCTCAAGACTCAGCATCTTTTAGCCTAGAAACAAACCCCTATTAGAACCTTACATTTCTATCTTTCTGCCAGGAGGCATTAACATGGGGACATGACAAGACATTGGACATTTGCAAAGTGGAGTATTTCAGGGCAAGTAAATTGAGACTCTCAGGTCACAGAGCCAGGCCTGGGCTTGCTAGATCCCATTGCTCAGTGACTCACAGAGAGAACCATGATATGGCAACCTGTGACCAGATTTTAGCAGAAGAATGTGATGGGAGTAGAGTAAGGTCTTGAACTATTACACTTAGGGCTCTTCTTTCTTATACTTCCTGATCTTTCCTTAGTAGGGAGAGGCAGCCACTTGCCTGAAGAATGAGAGTTTATTGTAACAAGACTATGAAGAGAGAAAAAGAGGTATTATTTAGTGTTTCTGGTTATCAAATTATGCCTTTTCATGTATTACATCAGCTAATCCTCACAAACTTTGATGCAAGAATATTATTATTATTCTTGTTTTAAAAATGAGTTAACTGAAAGGTTAAGTATAAGAAGGGACTTTTTGTTACATCCACGTGAACCCAAGACTGCCTTAGGGCATAGTTTTTCTACTGATATTCCTTGGTGTCAGTGGGTGGGCTGGTGGAAGAGGTGTCCCGGCACCTCCTGAAGTTGTAAGCAATGTTTCTGTGTATGTGTATATGGGCTTTTCTGTAGAGAGTGTCTATAGGTTTGATCAGGCTCATAAAAGCTTAAAAACAACTTCACAAAACTATTTCCCCTACCAATAAATTTACAAACAAGAGGGGAGTTCAGGGTTGAAAACACTGGGGCTGAAAAAAGAAAGTCCTAATTTTTACAGGGGTTATCAGGCAATTCAACTTCATGAAAAGATTTCTGCACACATTCCTGCCCTGGCATTGGGTTCTCATACCTCAACCATTTCTATGAACTCAGTGGTTCTCAAAGTGTGGTGCTGGAACCACCATCATCAGTACCATGTGGCAACTTATTAGAAATACAAATTGGGGTTCTATCCCAGGCCTACTGATGGAGATGGAGCCCAGCAATCTGTTTAAACAGTCCTCCAAATTTAGTCTGATGGATACTAAAGTCTGAGAACCCCTGGTTAACAGGAAGATTATGGTTCATCTCTTTGTATCCTTGGGTTGGTTAAGCGGCACTGGGATGCTCTGGATATGCTGGGAGGGATTTTAAAGCTTTCTTTGGGGGCACCTGGGTGGCTCAGTCGTTAAGCGTCTGCCTTCGGCTCAGGTCATGGTCCCAGGGTCCTGGGATCGAGCCCCGCGTCGGGCTCCCTGCTTGGTGGGAAGCCTGCTTCTCCCTCTCCCACTCCCCCTGCTTGTGTTCCCTCTCTCACTGTGCCTCTCTCTGTCAAATAAATAAAAATAAAAAATAAAAAAGAAGTCTTTAATAAAGCTTTCTTTGGTGGAAACGGGGCTTTGTCTCTTTAAGGCTGCAGAACTAAAAGTGATGTTGTTAACTCTTATCAGCCTCTCCTACCCCTAGCCCAGTCCAGAGCAAGAATGCACACTTGTGAGGTTTTGGGTATGAGTGATACCTGTCACCTAATCTGAATGGGTCATTCTGTACCAGCTATCAGTGAATCACTCCAGCATTTCTGTCAATAATGATAACAACACATCACAATGAAATTAATAGCA